TTCAATCAGAAGTAAATTAAATTAACCATAAAAAACACAGATGGAAATGAAAATAATCACTAACCAAAACTTGGATTTGGCCCGGACCTCATTGGTGGCCCAAAGCTTCATCCTGTAAATCTTGGGATGCTCATCGCTCTCCGTTGGGTAAGCCCTTCCAACAACTTGGTACTGGTGAAACTGCAACATAAACAAAACCAAAAAAAAAATCAAATACTTCCATTTTCTAATACTAATAACAGCTAACAGCTTCCAAACCGAATGTGAATGGATCGAAACCAAGCATGACATAACAAAACCGCCATCAAATCTTAAGAATAAAGTGAAACCACTAATGATAGTAGAATTCTGAAGTCAAAACAGGGAAAAGAAGAAGGAAACTGGGATGATCTGAGAAGAGAGAAGGCGGTGAGCAATTACCCTGAAAGTAACCATTTTTTGAGTGACGATAATAGCCGAAGAAGTCACGGCCCTCACTCTCTCAATTAGGGTTTTGTTAGATCAAAAGGCTTATATAGTCGTTGAATCGGGTTGGGTTTTGTATTTAGATTAATTTTATGGCTGTTAAATGGGTTTGGTAAAATTCCAAATGTAAGCTCAAATTGTTATAAATTAAGATGTTGTATAGGAAAATAATAAGAAAATAGGGGTTTTTAAAAACTAATTAAAAATATATATTTTGAACCGTGATCCTTAAAATTATCTCTAATTGACAAAATTATTCACGTGGGATAAAAATTGAGATTTAAAAATTTCAATAATTGTATGTGAACTTTACCAACGATTTGAGTACCAAAAATATTGAGGTGTCAAAAAAAATTTAATAACAGATGCTTTTATCAAAATTACCCAACAGGAGGCAATTTTCATAATTATTATTCAAAATAATTTATCTTTTAATTTATTTTTTTCTAATTCTTTTAAATTATCTCATCATTTTTAAAATAAATCGAATTGAAGAATAAATACAATAATGATTAATCTCAATATGTCACTTTTTAATTATAAACAATAGATATAGCCTCAAACTATACATATAATGCCCAAATATTAGAATACATTCATTGGAAATCAAAATGTAATCTGATAGATCTTACATCTGATGAAATCTGATACGTTAATTTTATAACAATTAGATTTTTGTCACACTTATGATAAAAGTGGATGACTATTGGTGGAGTAATGAGACTTTATATGAATTTATTTTTAAAATTGTATTTTTTTAAATTATTTCTTAAAAAATATAAATTTTGTAAGAAAGATTAAACCGACACTGTCTTGAAAATATATATTATGCCAATATTTCGTATGATTGGTATTGAAATATTAATAATACACGAATTAGGGTAAAGTGAAAATTGTTATATTTCAGCCTTTTGTGTATTTAAGGATACATAAAATGGGGTGAAATGAATAGAATATTCAGAATTAATGGAAACAAAAATTTGAAGATGGGGTCAAAATGATGAAAGGCAAAGTTATTACGCCGATTTAAGGCCAGTGTAAGGCGCAAATAAAGCCAACACACAGGAAACAACATAAGCACCAGCAACAATCATTGGCTACTCGTGCCCGCATGATTCTATATGAAGATGCAAAGGTACCATTTTAAACAACCGACGTCCACTTCCCTCATACTGCTCCGTGTATTTGAAGTATAGCACCTAACAAAAACAGTGTCAGTTATCATGCCTCGGAAAAACGGAATGCGGTCCAAGGAATAAACACTGCTATCGACATTCATCGCTGGCTGCAGCCATGATGTATCAGGCGAAGTCAGAAAGTTGAATCGTTAATACAATCAATGAACACAGTTTCGGTTGACCCGAACATGCACAGCATACCTGCACGATAACTGATGACGCTTCCAAAACAAAGAAACCAGATGCGAGGAACAAGGGGAAAAACATTCCGGTACAAGCGGCCATTGCAGCTAATGCGCAACCGAGGGCCTAGGATCCAGTATCACCCATAATTACAGCTGCTTTGTATTGGTTGTGCAAGCGAAAACTGATGCAGGCGTACTAAGTTCTGATTGGGATTGAAAAACAACAATCAGTGTTGAACAAGTTTACAGCAAATGGCAGCAAAGCACTAATTACAAAAGCATAAAAGAAGTTTAAAATTCACAACTAAAAATCAAACAGTATAATCATATTTTAGTATTTCACTAAGATGGATGCAATAATAACATTTTAATAATATGATAAGATGGGAACGACACAAAGCGGAGTCGACATTAAACGTAACGACCTTGAGTGTTCAGAGATATCTATACTAACCTGGGCATATTGGAAGCACCGCAATTGACATTCCAATGCAGTCCCTGCAACCAGACCACCAAGACCATCTGCTAAGTTCACCCCCCTTCCCATGGAAAGGAAACAAAGTGGAGTCAACAATAGGTATAATTTTCCCAAGCACAGAAGGCCCAGCAGTAGAGGTACCAGCATTTTCCTGCAATGAACTTTATAAAATGGTTTAAGCGAAAACCAAAAGCAAAATTCGAGCATAAAATATAACAAGTATGGTCTTCAGAGGATAGCCTAAAACATGAATTGAACCGCCTCATAAAAGAACAAGGGAACATATAAAACGGTTTCTATCAAATAGATTCAATTAGTTCAACACCCAGTTAAATGTGATTCAGTAACAAGAAGATATCCATGCCATAGGGTGACGACAAATTCGTAGTATCCAACCAAAATGAAAACCAAATCCCAACAGCCGCCTGTAATGACAAATAATTCAAGATTAGTGCAATAATGTTAAAATGAACTCCTAAGGCGACAAGGATGGCACATATATGACTAAAGATAAGAGGCAAGGAAGAAAGTACGTACCTCCAAAAGTAGTTTTAACCGTGGGTCCATACCGCTCTTTCGATTGGTGAAACTTAAGGCATCATCAAGTAGTCCAATTGCAGCAAATGCAAAGGTTGCCGCTGCAGTAGCAGCAACTTCAACAGAATAAACACCACAGCTATACTTACTGATACAAAAAAAAATCCACCCATCGTTGGGGTCCTTTTCTTTCTCATATATTTGGGAGGCCCTATTTTCCTAACTACTTCATGAAACTTAAAAATTCTAAGCAAGGGACACCGAAATAAACTGCACACGAAGCTAAGATCAATGATATAAAAAATGGGGAGGTCAAGTAGAATGGAGCCAATAGTAGCCTAACAATTTTCCATCCACACCAATCCACAATTAAAAGAACCAATGTCACGAAGATTATGTATCCTGAAATTAATTAGGGTAATCCATCAACAAATGCCTTAAAAAAGGGTATTAATTCATATACGCTCCAATTAATTTGATCATTTCGAGATATGTATTTTCAGGACTGTAAATACATATATAAAAAGAAGAGTCAAAAACTAGAAATGATCTACTAATAATAGAAAGACACAAGAAATGCTTAATACAATACCTCCTATGGAATTTTATCATCAGAAAATTCGTAAAAGAGCTTGCCTATGTCTTTTTAGGCCTTTTCCACGCAAAACAATCCGATGGGAAGCCTTAGCTAGCGCTTCTTCGAGAGGCAAGTCTTCATCGGACAAAGAATTTAATGCCAAATCCCCATCGCTATATTCCCCATCAGATGAAAGCATATAACCTGCCATCGTATCGTCAATGGCCCCAGTCATCAAACGGATCCTAAAACAATAACCCCAAAAACATCATAAAAATAATAAATTCGGTTCATAAAGGTCTAATTATGGCCCTGCTTCCTACACATTTCACACGCTACTTTTAGTTTCATAAATTTAATTTTTCTGCATATAAAAGTTAAAGTTCAATCGAATATGTTAAAAACATGAATTTAAAATTTTGGATTTAAATCTCATTAATTATGTAAGTTTTTTTTATAAAACTATATAAGTTAATTACTTTATGATATTTATTTAAAAAGTGTAGAAAATATGGATTTATCGAGTTAAATTTCAAATTCACTACTTTTACTTTATTCAATAGATTTGCGCGCTTCAAGTTTCCAGAAATAGTAACAGTTCAAGCAGAGTAATCAATTATACTCTAATTTTCAAGTCACGAAATTTGGAAACAAAATTATCATAAACACGAGCAGAGGTAGTAAAATTTCCGAATCATAAATCATATTGCAAAACGAAAAACAATTAGATCAGAAACCGCGAAACTGCTATTACTTACACCATCAGCGGCCTTAACTCTAACGGCGTCGGATCGTGGTCGTCGCCTTCGCTTCTGAACATTTCTCGATCGTCTAAGTTGAAACCTGATAAGACAGTAGAAGAAGCTCGAAGCAGCAGAAACGCGTAGCCGAGGAGATGAAACGGGGACGGGGAGTGTCGTTTTGGGGATCGAGTGAGTCCCGAGGGAGAAGAGAAATGGTGTAGATTGAAAGAATGATTCAAGTTATATGGATGCGGGTCGAGTTGAATTAAAATTCATCTTCTTTTAGTTTACTTTTAATTTAAATATAATATTTTTTACTCGTTTTAGATTTAAAAAATTTCATCCAATCAAAAATTTAACTCAATTTATAGAGTGAAAATCCACATCCGAATTATATTTATGTAAAAATAATTTTTATTAGATAAAATACTTTCATTGTTTATGTAATCCTAGTATTATACTTTATAAAAATTACAATAATTGAGGAATTAAATTTGTTAATACAAGAAATTATATATATATTAAATATATAAATTAGCGAAATTAGCCTTCATATTAGCAAAATGTGAAAGCAAAGTTTAATAACGTTTAATTGGACTAAGAAGCACAATGTTGCCCGAATAACCAACTTCTTAGTATTTTATAAAATACAATAACCAAATTCAATTTAATCCTAATTATTAATCTAAACGGCTTTTTATGGCAATGAAAACTGGAAAGAGTATATAATCAGTTAATTACATCAAAACGAACAATAAATTACACCTATATCACATCCGATTAATCATAACCAAATTATTTTCGCTACAAATTTAATTTATATGAACATAATTCGAAAACAAAAGCCATGTAGGCGCTATTTTTCACCATCGATGCCAGTTTGCAAAAGATATATAAAACTAACAGCATCACCAAATAAACCATAAACTGGATTTCAAAGCCTTTGAAACCACATTTATAAGATAATCCCCTTCTTCCAGCTTCCCACGTCTGTACACTTTCACAATCACAACAACCAACACATAATCCAGATAGATTATACCAGGGCACGCGCACAACTCGGTAAGGACTACTTAGAGATGGGCGGTCGTCCACGTCCCATTGTGAATCCCCTAGTTCCGTCGGGCATTCTAGGGCCCGGAGGTGGCTTTGCTGGTTCAATGGCATGAGATGAGGATGTCGTTCCGTGGCCTGTATAACATAAGATTTTGAAGAAAATTATTACCGTATGGGAAAAAAGAAAGAATATACAGAAAAAGATTAGTGCTGTGGATTGTTCTGATACCAATTCCATTGGTACCACCACGTGTTTTCGGTTTCCTTGCACGTCCTTTGTTTCTAGGTCGCTGCCCGTTTTTCTCCTTGGACAAATGCTCACCATCCTAAAATGTAAAATTCCATTATGCCAAATTCAAGAAACCTTCAGGAACATGAAAACTGAAAATATAGCCCACCTCAACATCCGGTAAACCTTCATGATGCTGACTCAAGGTATGATTCTCATCATCTCCTGTTTGATCAGATGCTCGAGCATTGCAGTTCTTTTCAGGCTCAGGTCCCCTCCAAGGTTGCTTTCGCGGAGCATACTTGCCCTATGACAAACAGGAGAAAAATTAATACCAGATCATTCCTAAGTTTGAAAAGTAAAACAAACAGGAATATTACCATTCTCTTAAGAAGCTTAACATGCATGCCATTTCTCCAGTCGCGTTCATCATTAAAAGTAGTTACCTGGTCCCATATTCAATGAAGAGCTCAAAATCAAGTAAGAAATTAAGTAAGCCTGATTTTGGTTAAGTGGACGACGCTGCTGACACTTACAGCTTTTTCAGCAGCCTCCACGGTCTCATACTCCACTAGAGCATGTAACTAGATCCAAAAACAAGGAAATTAAAAACAATGACAATACAGGAAGAAATCTGCTGCAGATAGCTCTTATAAAGAAAGCCATGTCATGCTTACAATCTATGCCAAACTCAAAGTGGTCACAGAAGTTAACATCATAAAAATCACATGCTAATCTGCCAAGATTGTTATACAAACCAACCAAAAATAACACAAAAATGGATTTCAGCAATTGTCTAGTTCAATGCTTTGCATTATATCCAAGAAATCAATTAAGAGAGAACGAAAAAAAAACAATTAGTTAATCAAAAAACTTCTGACTATATAGAGACCAGTTCCGTACCTTGCTGCTGACCAAGATATCTGCCCTGGCATTTTTCTTCGACTCTTCCGCAGCATGAGGATCACGGAGGGATATGTTCTTTATGCTGAAAATTCAGAAAGAGATCTACAAGCATTCAAATTAGGAAGCAAAACCCCAAAAATAACATCAATAAGGAATGGAAGTGCTGTCCTTTATAAGAAAAAAACATACTGTCCAACTTCACCAAATATCCTCCAAATGTTCTCAACTGAATGATCCTCTGGAAGGTTTTCTATCAAAACAGTGAATAACTAGAGTCCACAAATTAGATGTCAATTAAAGAGAAATACGAGAGTGAAGTCATTAAGTTCCAATGTTCCATAAGGGAAGTACCTTAGGGTCCCTGACCTCAATGGGTGGAAGAGGATTGCGGCGCTTCACCTTCTTCCCATCAGAACTAAGAACCTGAGACATTTAAAAAAAATGGAAATTAAATAGCAGAAAAAAAAATACTAGATCTCTTTGAATTTCAATTGTAGCCTTTGAACCCCTACAACATCAGCAAGTCAAGGTCATAAGGCAGTCCTATAAAAGATGATTATTTTGTAAGGAATGAGAGTCTCAAAACATACAAGCATGGACGACTCTTTAAGCGAGGCAACTATTGATGGATAGCTTCTGGTGAGTCTTTTCATTCTCCTAAAAGAAGCAATCATCGATATAGAAACTGCAAGGAATAAAAAATAAAAAGATATGCATGAAGATAATAAGATACCATGACAATAGGAACAGCTATTTCCATCTGAAATGTGAAGGCTTAACCTTACTATAATAAAAATAATAATTTGCAACATCAATTGTAGGTTTATGTGACCAATTTTGGCGACCATCCATTCGGGGCATGAATATATGAATACACTGTTCTTTGTTTGAGGAAAACTCAAAGGATGATTTTCTCAGGGTTTCACTCAAAACTACCAAAAAAATTAAACAATCTTATGTAACTCATGGCTTTGAAATACCTACTTGTTATTTATCAACTCCATCATATACAAATTTTTATATATCGTCCATGTCTATCCATTTACTTCAAAACCAAATTCAAGTCCACAGTCTTCAATCTTCCATTTAGTGAAAGCAGTCAAAAATTGAAATGCGTGTGATATTGCGGAATCCCCTTTATTGCCTTTTAGTCTTTTATGATATTGGCACATTAACTCCAAGATGATCGAACAGCTCTGGTCATTTCCACAGAGCAAAACTAATCGAAGCTACCAGTTAAAACGCAATGCAATATATTCAAACGTGAAATCAGCCTTCCATACATTTTGCAGATGGTGTAAGCAGTCAGCAGGCTAAATTCTTAATTCTATGCAGTAAATTGTATTTACTCACCAAAACCTTCTTTGTTCTTCTTAATCAGACTCATCATATACTTATCCGTCGGCAAATTTTCATCGCTAAAATAATATTCCACCTAAAAAATAAAAATAAACTTGAATTGAGAATCAAATATCAATAAACTTCATCTAACAAGAGGCAGAACAAAGTCTAAGGATCAAGAATTCAGGAACGCAGGGGAGGATGATTTTGAGGCCTTGCCTGCTTAATGATCTTGTTTTTGAGATCATCGGTGAGGACAGCATTCGCCGACGAGTTCTCGTGATTCTGCTTTTGATCCCGATCTTGACCGTGAGCGTGGTCGTGGTCGTGATCCTCATCGGATAGCGGAGATAGAATCTCGATCTCCTCCTCCGTCTCAGCGGATCCGACGGGAACAAGATCATGAGATTCATGTGGCGGAGAGAGCAGCGTAGGGCCAGCGGTGACGGTCGTAGGCTCCACGTGGCTGCCCATCTCGGAGAGAGAGTAGGAAGCAAGGAAAGAGTTAATTATTAAAAGGAGGCAAAAAAGAAAAAATAAATAAAAACCGCCCGCCCTTCCTCTTTATTTTTCCTTCGCCTGCTCTCTCTGGAAAAACGGAAATGCATTCTGCGGGACCCTTTTATAGTGAAAGGGTAAATTTCCAATTTGATACAACAAGGGTGTTTTTGTCATATTTGACGAAAATATTGATATTTGAACATCTAAATACTTCTTAAAAGATTTTATGTTTGTATTAAAAATAAAAATAGATCTTTGGTTAGGTATTTTTAAAATTTAAAATTTAAATTTTAAAATGTATGATTTATCAATTTATGAATTTAAAATTTTAGATTAAATTATTTAAAATTAATTTTGAGTTTTTTAAAATAAATTTCTCAAGGGAACCGTTAATTTTTTTAAATTACAATTATAAATACAAGTATTATGTTATAAATAATTATAATAAAAATTAATCAATACAAAATACAAACAATATTATAAATACAATAATAAATTATACCCATGATCATTTGATAAATATATTGATATGATAATTAATAAAAATTATATAATTATACAATCAATCTTTATTGTTTATATATTCTATTAATTTAATATTAATATTAATTTAATTTGATCATTTTAATTACACATGTTACCATCTAATTATAAGTTCAAATTTATTAAATTAAAATAAAATTAAGACCAAATTGATCAAATATGTAATTATATCAATTTTATCAACGATCAAATTGTTTTTCCGTAAAATGTTATCAATAGATGATTTAATTGACATTATATAAATAATTAAGTTATACAATTGATAATATTTAAAAAAAATTGATTTCTCGATTAAATTTATTAATGATTAAATGATCACAAATATAATTTATCTGTATAATTAATACAAGTAACTAAAATCAATCATTACAATTTATTAATAGACATGTTAACAATCGATCTATTCAAACCTAACTTAGAATTGCTCTAGACAAGACTTAACTAAAAAGACTTAAATAATATTTTAGCAGTAAATATAGGGTAAACTACACGGGAGACCATCAAACTATGGTCATTAATCAATCTTACCATCAAACTATTTTTTGTCTCAATTTGACCACCAAACTTTTTAATTGATTCAATCAAATCACTCCCCGTTAAAAAAATAACGGCGCGTCCGACGTGACTGTTAATAAATTGACATAATTATATATTTGATCTTTAATATTTACATATTCTATCAATTTAGTCACTATTTTAATTCAATTAAATAACTTTAATTATTCAATTAAAACGTGACACATGTCAATATATGATTGGAAGGTTTTATTTATCAATTAAAAAGTTTAGTAGTCGAATTGAGACAAAAAATAGTTCGGTGGTAAAATTGATTAATGATCATAGTTTGGTGGTCTCTGTGTAGCTTACCCAAAAAAATAAGAAAAAAAATAATGGGAAATGCAACTTAAGCTACTTTCTTTTACTCAAAGCAATGCTCCAAAAACAAGCTAACATACAATGAAGCTTGGGACATATTTGCCTTTGCCGGTTATAATGCCTTAGAAACTGAAACTTATATATTACAAAAGCATAACTTTTCCCTTTTACGTAAACTTATCTAACTTTAAACCAAAACCAAAAGGTAAGCCCAAAAGGCAAGTCCAAGCCCTAACAATGTCCGAGCCTCAATTCTACCGGATAACGAAAACCAAACACGAACATCGTCCACCACCGGACCGCATAGTGAGCTCATGTCATCTGTTCGGGTATTGTAATAGACGCTGTAGAATGCGATCCGGGTCCTCTCAGCCTTGGCCGTGAAGTTGACACTGGCGACTTGGAAGGTGGAGTTGGAATCCGGGGTGTAGTGGAAATTTTGTGCCTGATCTCCTGCAAAGGCCATGATTGCTAGTGGTTCCTTGCATTTATCCCTAGCATGGCCCAAAGAAAAGGTCAGGCTATATAGCTTGTTCGGTGTGGTTTCGACCATTTGGGAAATGATGCCTTCCTTGCCCGAGACTAACTCAACGGCACGTTTTCCTTCTGGGACAGCATAGTGATTCGAGTCGATGTATCGAACCGCTCTGTTCGATTCGACCATCCATCCGGGCAACGGGATGTCTCTTCGTCGAGGTTGGTCGGTAGCAGGACACCAAGAGATACGTTTTGAAACATCCAAGGACCGAACTCAAAGCCACCGTTAACAACTGCATTGTCTGAAGAAAACATAGCAGCAAAGTTAACTCGATCAACATCATGAGCAAAGAAAAATGGCAAGCAAACCCCACTAAAATAAATTTTAGACGGGATCAACCATCTTTGTTCAATTACAGTTTTGTTGATCAAATTCGGAATTTAGTCCTTGTATTCTAATTTCACATAATTTGATTTTTTTCTTTTACAATATCATTAATTCGCTCAAATAATTAACACCACTAACTAATTAGATTAACAAACTAACCTAGATTTCTTCAAATACCCCTTTTAACTTATCATGCTAACATAATTGTTTCAGTTGAGAACAGTATTTTGAAGAACTATTAACAATACTAACTAATTGGACTAACTAATAATTTAAAAATAACGGATCAAATTATGTCAAATTAAAATACAATGATTGAACAATAACTTGGGTATGAAAAAGGGACCCAAGCCGTGATTTGACCATCCTTTTTAATAGTAAAGAGAAAATATTAACTTATCTAAGTGTACGTTTGGTTCACGGAATGTAAAATTACCAGTAGAATTGTAAGATTATCAGGAAATAGGATTACCGAGAATGTTATATTTTGTGCTTGGTTGATTTAACAGGAATATAAGATTATCGTGCTTAGTTAAAATAATAAAATATTATTAGAATGTATATTTGATCAAATTGTCTTTATTATATATTTATTTTTTTAACAAGTTAAAAAATATTTATATATTTTCTTTAAAAAAATTAAATTCATAAAATTTATATTTTTTTTACAAAATTAAAATTATAAAAATGTTTAATAAAAGGATAAAATTTTATTTTAACCCCTAAACTTCATATAAAATTTTAATTATAGATTTTTTTTGTAAATCTGAAATAGTTTAATACACCAATAATCCAACAATACCTAAGGAAAAGGAGGTAATGACATTCCCAGTAATATACACAAAAAAATCTACTATTGATAATAAAACATTATCAAGAATGAGATTTTCGACCAACCAAACATGAAAATATAATTTTCATTCCCATGAGAATCTCACATTACTTGAACAAAAAACCTCTAAAAGTTAGATTAGCAACATTTGCAGGATAAATATATATTGTCAATAAATTAAGATAGTTAATAAATTCAAATTATAATCCCTCTAAATTATTAAAAAAAACGATATTTGATGTTGCCTATGAAAGACTAGATGTTTCACTCATCCAAGGGCCTTGTCCAGTTGTACTTCCGAATAATTATATAATTTCTGTTAAGTCCTTCCAAAAATTAAGAAATTCTAATTTAGTGAAATGGTGAAATTACACAATGGCCCTCCCAAAAGTTAATAATTTAACTGACCCGAAACTGTAATTCTTCCAGCACTAAACGCAGGATCTTATTTACCCATACTACAACACACTGGTACTGCGACTAAACGAGCTTTTAACACTTCAGTGGAACCCCACACACCGAAATCACGCTAGCATAAAGGAAGTAAAGCCGATGAAAAAGCAAAAGCAAGAGAAAAAAAAGAAAGGGATTTGTAGTTTCACTTACCCTTGGGTGTATCGGGGTGACGAGTTTCTTGATGGCGATATCATCAATGATGGGCCCGCATTCCGGGTCATCTTCCATGCCCGGATTCCTAAAAAAACAACCGCGCTTTCTCCTCCTCAGCCTCGAAAGAAATTGAGTACGGATCCCACCCCTGCACGTTGTACAACGTCTGCAGGTCCACCGTCTGCGATGCGGGCGGCACGGACACGTTCAGCGACTCCAACTGCGCGCAGGTGCGTGCCGCACTGAACGTGATCGCGTACGTCGATCCTTTCTCCACCTGCACTTCTTGGCTGATCTCCGCGTCGTTACCCAATCGAACGGCGTGCGTGCCACGGGCACGATGAGTAACATCCCGCCGTTCACTTTTTCGCCGGCCGATACAAGCTCCACCGTGCCTTTCATTCTCCAGCTGGGGATCTTGGTGGGGCCATCGTATATTGAATCGCTCGGGAAGCCGTTCGATGGTCGCGTTTCGAAATCACCGTTGGCAACCAGCCCTACAAAATAATTTACCATTTATTTTTGGCTTCCATGAATCATCACAAAGGCAAGCTTGCTTATCCGAACACGTGCGCATACGGATGACGGCAATAAAATTTGACGATATTAAGTAAAGCACATGCTTAGATATCTTTCATCGTCATCGGTAGATTCACTGGTCCAATCCCACTATCAGACAACAAATTCAATAAACCAATTGATAACAATTATTTTGATAACGTTATTTATGGCGTTTAATTCGCAAGAATGCTTATGAAGGAATTAGAATCTGTGAAGAAATTGAAATCTGTCAAGAATTGGAATTTAATTTCATATTCTGTTTGGTTGGCAGAAAATGAAATTGGAATTCAATTTCATATTCTGTTTGGTTCGCAGACATGTCAGATGAATTTGATTTTAATAATGTAAAATGACAAAATTGCTCTTCTTATTTTTTTGTTTTATTTTAGTTTGTTTTACAACTTATATGTAGTAATATATTATAAAAAATTAAAAAAATTAATTTTTTTTATTTTATTGATTGATTATTTATTTCAATAAATTATAAAATTTATTTTTATTTAATAAAAATATTGACTTAATTGAAAAAAAATTATATATAGAGGGGTATTATTGTAATTATTCCTAAATATATAAGGTAAAACTATATATTTTTTTCGGGTTTGGTCTAGTTTTTTTCACCCTAAACTCGAACTCTACCCGAATATCACACTTAAAAAACCTGACTTGACCCGAACAAAATAAAGTTTCACCCGACTCGAATATATGAATTAGAAATCCGACCGACCCGACCTGAAATAATAAAAAAATATTTTTATTCAATAAAAATAGTGACTTAATTGAAAAAAATTATATATAGAGAGGTATTATTGTAATTAT